CAGGTATAAAAGAGCAAAATCAAAAATTTTAAAATATTTCTCCAATAAATTTTCTTTTAACCTTTATTATCGTTACTACCGGTTTTTTACAGGTAGAGGAGTCTTGTATTCTGATCTTCATTTTGATATATACGTAATAATGTTCAATAATTTTAGAAAAAATATTTCTAGGTGGCCAAAACTTGGGATCAAAACATTAAAAAATAAATCTGATGTGGTCAGCATATAACCGACCGTAGTGTGTATTATCTAATTAAGTGAAGGTGTTACAGAATATTATAGAAATGCCTGTTAAATACTTCTTTCTAATTTTTAGGGCATTTGTAAACTTTATATTAACTAAATATCCCTAGAAGAATGTAAGTTTGGCTCTTAGTAGAGCTTCGCTTTGTGCTACCTGAATTCCCTGAAATACTCGACAGTTAGTTTCAGTAATAACCAGAAATCAAATATCAAATTTCAAGAAATTCCATGAATTAGTTCCGTAGATTTCCGTAGGTTAAAAGTGTGAAATTTTTCCTCATCAGTTTTCGAGCTCTGATTTTTCCAAAAAAATTAATTTCAATGAAATCGGTTTATAAACACAAAAATGAAAAAGGTTTTTTATTAAAACAAAATTAATTAAAATTAATTATTATATTATAATTTCTTATTTCGTATTCCTAATAATATTTTTTATATTATGAATTAGAAAGTAGAATTAGGAAGTATTTTAGTACTCTCATTAAAAAAAAAAAACAATAAAGCTTGTAAATAAGAACAAGTAAAAGCGAATTGAAGCCTGCACCTTGAACATCTGAGTATGAAGACTTGTTTTTGAAATCTAACTTAGAATTAGCTCTGTTACATGACAGTTATTCAAACCTGCTACATCAGTCCTTAAAAACTTCAAAGATATGTGGGATCTTTATTTGGACACATAATTGCCAAATCTCATAAAGCTAACTTTATTATTTTTTCGAATATTTAAAATTGGTTTTTGGAGCCAATTGTATTGAAGTTACCCGAACCTCTCAAGCTATTTCATAAAAAATTTGAGAATATCTGGGCTAGAATTAGGCACGCGTCTGTTAAATTTTATGAAACTAGTTTTATTATTTTTGCTAATATTTAAAATTAGCTTTTAGAGTTGTGTGGTAGCTACCGAAACCTGTCAAGTCAATCCATAAAAACTTCAAGGATATTTTATACCCATAATTGGATACATGACTGCCAAGTTCATGTATTTATCTGTATTATTTTTCCGATTTTATAAAATTAAGTTTTGGATTTGTATGGCAGCTACCCGAGCTAGTGCAGTCATTCCATTGAAATTTTAAGAGCACATGTAGAATGTAATTGCACACACGTACACAAAATTTCATATTTATATTTTTATTAGTTCGTCAAATATTTAAAATAAACTCTTTATCATTATGAAAAATAAGCACCTTGTGAAAGTTTGGTCGAATTTCCTTTATTCATTTTTGAGTTATCCAGCGATTGGGCTTACGGACGGACAGACATGTCTAAATCAACGCAGAATTTTATTCTGAGCAAGAATATATATACATGTCCTTACCGGAGAGGACTCCTTCAACTGGTTACGAACTCCATGCCAAATTTAATATCAATAAAATTAAAATATATCTTTCACGAAGGTGCAGGGTGTAAAAATTAAAATACAAGTATTTTTTATAAATTGGCCAGTAATATCTGCCGAGTTATCACTGAAAATGTAAAAATTAGACGGTTTTCACACATTCCAAATTTGAGGCTTCATAGCTCGATAAGGAGGGTCCAAAAAGTAAAATGTAAAGAAGTCATGTAAAAAGTAAAGAAGTCATTTTATCACCCCGCTTCGCTAACTCCATTAAGTTTCGCGCACTCTGTATACATATGTATACATATATAATAATTTATAATTAATGCTGGAGTTATCAATTTTTACTTTTAGGTATTGTGCAAACCGCATTTGATTGAATTTTTTCTGCGCCAAATTTACGGAATTTTATAAAGGATTAGCATTTTTTGTAATCGTACATTTAAAATGCTAAAAAACATAAAACTTTGCAGTGTTACAAAATGAGTTTATTGTTTTGATTAGGTGTTTCGGTAATAGTTTGTTGTATATCAAAGAATAGTATATGCATACTGAATTTAACAATCAAAATTAGACTATCACGCTATGTAAATATGTTATAGGTGTTTAATAACGTGAATAATATTTGATATTTGAGCAGGCTCTTTAACATGTAAGTATTGGAGAACATCTTTTACTTTCGACAGTAATGTTTATTAAAAATATTAACTTTAAAAAAGAATTGTAACCATTTGAATTTCTGTAATTTGAAGTTTTTTACAAAACTGATAAAGAAAGAAATTATTCAAATGATACCAAGTTTACCCTTTCATTCTAACATTAAAATTAAAATATTAATATATACTTAATACGTATTTGAATAAAATAATACTACTTTCAAGTAAATAAAAAGAAGCATTTACTATTTTTTTATGTAATGCGGTCATTATAATGGAAAAAACCCCTTTTTTCTTAAATTTTATATACATACTTGCAATTATTTCAAAATTAATAATTTATTCTTTATTTCTGGATTGTTTTAAATATAGTAGCGCTAATATGGAAAATGAAAATATCTATGGATCAAATTTCAAAATAAATACGAATCTGAATGAGATTCCAATCCAAACTGATCATTTAGAAATTTGTTCTTTTAAATTATCGCATGGTGAACAAGGAAACTATGAAGAAATATTATTAAATCATATTCAGCATAAAAACGAGGCCTTGAGTTTGCCACCTAACTTAAACCGAGAACAAGTTATCCCAAGATATTCTACAAAATTTGAAACATTGAATAAAAATATGAATACTAACTATGGTTGCTCATTAAAAAATAGTGAACTTCAAGAACAAAATTTAATATCTTATATTAATGGTGAAATAAATTTATTATATGGGAATTCGAATTCAAAAAATATCAATAAGCCAAATAACCAAACACCATCTCAAATAGATAATCATAATGCACGTTTTATAACATTGCATCCGCAAAACGTTGGTTCATATCAAACAATTATTGCAAACAAAAGAAATCGTTACATTATTAGCCCCCTCTTCAACAAGAATAATAAAAATATTGATACTGATGGTTATTTAAAAAAAAATAGTAGTAGCAGTTTAGGTGCCATCACTATTAAAAATCCTGTATCTAGTACGATGAACTCAAATTATAGCACTAGATTTAATAGTAATATAACAGAAATAAACATCGATGCACAACAAGAAAGAGAGGAAAACCAACAACGAAACCATAGCAATGGTAGTGATATTGATATTACTCGTTTAAGAAATCAGATACACACTAATACGTATAACAATGCTGACATAAATATGAATAAATTGAGTAAAGATAATAATATTATGATTATTCAAAATTATAAAACTCTGCAACTCTCAGAGAACCCGTTATTATTTGAAAATAATGTAAATTCATATCAATATAAATACGTTGCTCAACAATATACTAAACACGTGGAATCAAATTTTCATCAACGTGAAATACATTTGCGTGCACAACCGGCTGATCATAATTTTCAACCACATACGAACTTAGAGGGAAAACTATGCCAGTTTTGTCACTTATTAATAAAAGAGAATTTTATTGTTAAATGCTGCTTTTGTGATTTGATGTGCCATAGTACATGTGCCAAACTATTGGTAAGTGATTCATATTTTTACTGAATTGGTAGATATAATTTATGAACATTAACAACTTAAAAGTAAAGTACATTGAAATAATTAAAAATTATCGACATGAAAGGTGAAAGAAAAATTTTATCTATTCTTGTGGGAAAAATAATTTTACCATACACAACACAATGTAATACATAATATGAAATTATTTTACTCCAAAATAATTGATTTTAGAGAAAATTTTAATTTTACGGTAGATTCTATAAAGTTTGTACGAAAAGATTTTAAAAAATCTTCCATATTTTCATTTTACGAAGTGAGAAAAATTTAGTTCTTGAATGCGAACATATGGTCTTATTAATTTTCTTTTTTAAGTTAAAAGAAATGTTTTGAGAATTTTTTTTAAAAGTTTTTCTGTGTGAATTTTGGAAACTCAACATACATACATATGTATATAATCAGATTAGAAACTTTTTATCTCCCAATATTTAGCCTTGTACATACTTAGATAAATTATTATTACAAAAATGGTAAACATGTTGCGTTAAATTGACGAAATAAAATGAAATTTATCAATTTTTTTTCTTAAAAATTGCACGGTTTAAAAAAATATTCATTAAAAATTAAAAATAGCCTTCTTTATTTTGTATATATTCTTATTATGTGTTTGAATTTGAATTTGTACGTTATAACCGATAAAAATAAATTTAAAATTAACCTATAGCAAATTTTCTATTAAGAGTGAATTATGATTACAGATAATAATATATTTTTTTTAATCTTTTTTAAGATCCAAGTTTTGGCTATTTAGCAGTTTAATGTAAAAAATATAAGAGGGAATATTATAGAGTGATATTGAGAAATTCAAAAAGTAGGGTTTATAAAAATTTATTAATTTGTTACAAATAATTGGGAATTTTAGTGCAATTAACAGTTGTTTATTGTATCCTAAACAACAGAAACCTACATTTTATGCACAGATATATAAACGCAAATCTAACTTTAGCCCTTAGCCACGTATTTTAAGAAAAGTTTTCCGCCTTAGTCTAAGCAACTTTCCTAACAAAGTGGCAAAAAATTGCTTATTAATTCAACTTTGTCCATCTGTTCTTGTCTCTGTCCACAAATCTTCTACAAAAATTAAGATAGAAAGCTCAAATTTTATAAACAAAGAGATTTTTGCTAGAGACTTATTTCTGAAGAAGAAAATTTGTACCTCCACTATGTTTATCTTTTACATCTACACTTTGCACTATGACATTTCACTGTATTTTTCTAAAACTTTTCTAAAAAAATATTTCGATTTTATTTTTTAAATTTTTTCTTTTGAACTAAATTTTGCTTGTGATATTTATAAAAGATTTTTAAAATTTAATATCCATAAAATGCAGCTCTGTAAATAAAATATGAGGTTTGTTTAGCTTCTACAACAATACGAATAAATCTTTCGCCAATACGTCCCGCAACAATATAAGCTTGACCATTTCCAGATGATTGTTCAACAATAATTTCAACATAAGTTACAATACCACCAACGCCAGATTGAGGATAGCTAAGTTGAAGTTTAACATCCTGTAAAGTTGGATAATAGTAGCTATTTTGTCCATTCGATAATACTCGATCAGCTGAAGTAGTGAGCAATAAAATAATATAATGTTGATAAAATAAATATAATGGGATATATAGATTAAAAAACTTACATGAGCTGAGACGTCCCATTGTGTAACGAATTGGGGCTTTTTGTCCGAAAGCTTTGGCTTTAACAGCTGGAATTTCTTTATTCATTGGAGTAACAGTAACATCTGGATTTTGTTTTATGAAATCTTCTATGCTTTCAACAAGAACTACTTCATCAATAGTTCCAGATTGAATTGCTGGCATACTGACTGCTGATGCAACAGCAATACACAAAACAGCACAAACTAAAGAATAAACTTTTCTCATTTTGATATAGAGTTTTATTGTTTCGATTGTCTTAAAAAAGTATTTTATTTAAGCACTTCTGCTGATATTAAATTTTTAAAAATTCTTTCGAAATAAATTTCGCTTTTAGAGACCAAAAGTTCGTCTGAAAGTTTTTTTTAATTAAGAGAGGTATTTATACTTATGAATATTTAGATGTAATTAAGAGATAACCAGACAGGTGAATAAAATACAAATAAAAAATAATATTGATAAGGTGCTTTTAAACACTTTTTTGTGATATCACAAAATATGATTTTGTTAAGCTTGCCAGCTTTTTGCAACTTCAAAGTGGAATATCTTTTGAGTAATAAATCTCAAGAACCTTAAATTAAGAAAGAAAATTAATCAGTTATAAGTAAACAAGTGCTTTTATATTGTGTTATTGTATAAATTATGTACTTATAATTATTGCAAAAATTTTAAAAGGTCAGGAGAACAACATCATTTTAGAATTCCAATTGCTAAACTTTTACTTGAAATATTAAATAACGTGACAACAGGTGTTTTGCTTAACATAGAAAATTGAAATTAATACATATGTTATAAAACAAACTTAAGATTTGTGCTATGTCTGTTGCGCAAATTTTCAGATTTTTTTTGAATCGACTCAACACTGCCAATAGGTATGAATGTTAAGTAAGTTGGCTATATAAGCTTATTTTACTCTTAATAGAGTTACGTAGTGAATGAAAAATAATAATTTTTTATGAAATCAACCTCCTATTTTATCGAATAAAGTTGGTTTTTTTAAACTTTGGTAAATTGATGTATGAACTGGTAAATAGATATTTTGAAACGGTTGACTTTTACTTATGAAAAGCAGAGATATTTTCAAAAAGTTTAGGAAACTGGATACCCTACAGGTAATGTGTATCCTTTATTATTGTTGTTTTGCGCGACTTTCACGGTTTTAGTTTGGTTCGTATCGCATTAAAAACACTGATAAGTGAAAAATTGATCTCTTAACTTTAATTGTTTTTAAGTTGTTTTTTTTATTTTTTTTGTTTTTCCCATTTTAATTTTCAGGTAATCTATTTTACAATTTAATTAAATATTTGTTTACGAGTATTTTAATTTTTATTATGTATATAATTTAAAAATTCCAAGTATATTTAAACAAAATATATATAATAAGTATATAATTCCAAGAATATTTAAGAAAAATATATGGGGTTGTTGCTTAGAGTTTTGAAAGCAAAAATCGATTTCTATAATTTAATACAAATTCAAAAAGTATACTTGCCGAAAACTTCATAATTGGCTAGTGATTTAAAATCAATGAATTGGGTTACTATTTACTGTGTGTTTAATTTAAATAATGTTGACATTTGTGTAATGCAATTGTTAGTATTCTTAGTGAAATTTATAAGTAAAAATTTCTATTTGTTGCACAATTCCAATATGCTTGCATTCCATATATATTTGCGCATAATAGAGAAAGTCATTGTTTTTCATTTATACTAACTACAAGATTTTAATGAACAATATGTAACTTTTAGAACATTTTATTTATCGATATAGTAAATAGAATTTATGTCTTATTACTAAGGCACTTACATTTTAAAACATAAGCTGTTTTTACCGACCGTATTGTGTAAACAATAGGTAGGTTATGTGATGGCAACAAATTTTGCATATCGAGTTTTCGGTGGGAACGTACTTCTCCATAGTAGGGAAGTGTAAATAAACTATTTTTAGCAACCTGTCGGTCTGTCGGTCTGTGTGTGCACGCGTGTATCTCAAGTTCGGCTGAACCGACTTTGATGAAATTTTATATGTAAGTTTGTTTCCACCATGGCACGGATCGATCAACTTTTGGTATATATCAGGCCTCGGGAACTGCACTTTTTAGCGGGCCTGTTTTACATTTTTGAACATTTTGAAGAAAATATTCAACCGATTTACTTGAAATTTTATATATAAGCTCAGCTCGACCGTCCGCAAAAATTCGTATGTTTTGGAAGAAATCAGGCATCGGCAACTAGACGTTTACTACGGGCCAAATATACATTTTTGTGTATATAAAGAGAAATAATCAACCGATTTCATTGAAATTTAATATATGAATTCCTCATATTAAAGTAATGAACATATAACTTTTTTGGAAAGATCAGGGCTCGAGAACTGATTTGCGGGCCGATTTTACATTTTTCACCATATCCACAGAAAAAATTGATGGAATTTTTTGAAATTTGATATTTGAGTTCTGGTTGTTACCGAAACTAACTGGCGAGCATTTGAGGGAATTCGGGTAGCACAAAGCGAAACTCTACTAAGAGCCAAATTTACATTTTTCTAAGTATGTTAACTATAAGCTTACTAATGTCCTAAATTGGAAAGAAGTATTTAACAGACATTTTTATAATATTCTGTAACACTTTCATTTAACTAGACAATACACAATGCGGTCGGTTATGTGCTGACCACATCAGATTTTTTTAGTATTGCTTTCATATAAATGCATTTTTTAATCTATATACCAGCAGGTATTCAATCAAAAATCCAATTCAATTTTTAGGAATCGACTAATTTAAATGGTAGAATTCGAAGAAACATAGAAACATATTTTGACTACCGTATTATATTATACCTTAATACGAGTAATACATATTATACCGTACGTCTAAAATGTCTTTATTCTTCAAATAAAACAAAACAGTAAAACCGCGTCGAGATTTTAAAAAATATTTAAAAACAAATTATTTTTTAAAAATTTAAAAGTTTGCTTTCTATTCTTCCATATTCTTGTCGATATCCCAAAAATGGTTCGATTTATTGTCACCGCTAAATTTTGAGACTTCTCAAAACACATAAAATAGTTGCAAGTTAATTTCTCTATTGGAGAATGCGAATTTTTATACCCGTACAGCGTCAAATTCTGAGTTGATTTAGCTTTGTCTGTCCGTCCGTCCGTCCGTCCGAACGATAACTCAAAAACTAATTGAGCTAAGTTCACCAAATTTTCACAAACGATTTATTGTAGTAAGTGCCAGAACCCTATTTAAATTTGACGTGATCGGGGTACCGGTTCGGGTAGCTGCCATACAACTTCAAAATTTATTTGGCTATATCTCAGAAACTATAAAAGTTGTGGTATTGAAATTTCACACAAACGAATATATTAGTAGGGCCAATGTGTCTTATAAAAGTCGTTGAAATTACTTGGCTCCTTCTGGTACCTGCCATACAACTTCAAAAGTCATTTGACTATATGTCAGAAACTATTAAAGCTATGGTATTGAAATTTCACTTCTTGAAATTGAAGCTCCTTCTGGTACCTGCCATACAACTTCAATAATAGTTTGAAAAACACATAGTACTGAAATTTTGCATAAATTAATATGGTAATACGGCAACTTAAAGTCATAGTCTGCCCCATAGTTAGTTATGGCACATTAGTTATTCGCACATAGGATTAACAAATTTGTACGGGTATCACAGAGTTGACAAGGTCAACTCTATTTTTTTTCTCGTTTTTTTTTAAATTCTAAATTTAGCATGGTCGATGTTTTACATCAGTTTTACATTAGGTTCTCCCAGAACAAGCTGTGAGCGCGAAATTAATTTTAGAACCAAAATTTGATTTCAAGAAGAATGATTTACTTTTTGTAGAATGACTCGAGTCACATGAATTATGGTTTTGCGAAATTCTAAATTATTTTTTTCATTTTACAACTTAATAAATTTTCGTCAAGTTGTAATTTGAAAATAGATTTTAAATTTTTAATTTTAATTAATTTTTTATTGTCCCGAATTGAAGCACTTAAGTTAATTTGTTCATTTATTTGAAAACTTTTAAATCTTCTCTAAAAATTATCTCAAAAGTTTTTAAGTATTTAAACGTACACTTTATTTGCACATTTGTTTTACAATGCCACTTACTTAAAATTATGAAAATTAATATTACGGAAGCAAAAATGCAGCTGAGTAAACTAAAGTTTTCATAATACAGGCATTAAACAATACCAAATCACTATTCTAAAAGCATTACAACTTTGTATAAACACGTGTCTGTGATCAATATAAAAATATTTGCAATTTTCTACGCCTCAGAAAAAAACCTTATATAGTAAAATACCTTGCATCTATTTGAATGAATTATTAAAAAAAAATTAATTTTCTGTTTATATAATATTTTTAAGAATTTTTACTCAAATTCAAATATAATTTTTAGAACTTTTCCAAAAAATTTTTCAAAAAAAGTGTTTATCAGTTTCACTCTGTCCGTCCACCCGTCTGTCTGTGTGTCTGTTTACCAAACTTCTACACCCTTGAAGCTGAAATTTTATATATACAAAGATCTTTACTAGAAACTAACGGTGAATTCCATGACATTAAAAAATATAATTATTTTTCTTAACTCTCGCAATTAACCCTTATTCAAAAAAATCAAGCATTATGTTAACCCCTCTTTATATGAATTTTAGCTTTATTTCAAAGACTGTATAAATCGTTCATCTTAAATATATGCAATCCTAGAAATAGTTTCGGTTTTGAATAAAAATAATTATTATACCCGTACGAACGTTTGTTCGAAGGATATACTAAATTTGCCTTACCGTTTCTAACGCTAACAAATAGCGGTCTTAGATATAGACTCAAGTGTATGTTTTTGATCACCGTCAAATTCTGAGTTGATTTAAATTGGTGTGTCCGTCCGTATCGACCCGTACGAACGTATGTTCGAAGGGTATACTAAATTTTCCTTACCGTTTGTAACGCTAAGACATAGCGGTCTTAGATATAGACTCAAGTGTATGTTTTTGATCAGCGTCAAGTTCGGAGTTGATTTAGCTTGGTCTGTCCGTCTGTCCGTTCGTCCCAACGATAACTCAAATACTAATTGAGCTAAGTTCACCAAATTTTCACAAATAATTTATTGTCGTATTTAAATTGGACATGATCGGGGTACCGGTTCGGGTAGCTGCCATACAACTTCAAAATTTATTTGCCTATATCTCAGAAACTATAAGAGCTGTGGTATTGAAATTTCACACAAACGAATATATTAGTAGGGCCAAAGTGTGTCATAAAGTTTGTTGAAATTACTTGGCTCCTTCTGGTACCTGCCATACAACTTCAAAAGTTATTTGGCTATATCTCAGAA